CACACACACGCCCCGAGTGTGAGGTTCACATCCTCCACATTTATTTTAAGTTCCTACCGCATCAGAGAGAAATTAAGTAGCACGCTGATCTTCTCAAGGAGCCTTCACTAGATCCTTCTATTCTGAATAACTTCCTTCTCATTTCTGTTTTACCGTTTATTTCAAAGGTTTTAGAAAAAATTGTGTTTGACCAACTGCAGTTCTTTCTAAATCTTAATTGTATTACTGAAATTTTTCAATCTGGTTTTAAATCTGCTCATAGTACTGAAACGACCCTTCTCAGAGTGTTAAACGATGTCCTTTTAGCTACCTACTCTGTGGTCCTGGTTCTCTTAGATTTATCAGCAGCATTTGACACTGTGGACCACTCTATTTTGATATCTAGATTAGAGTCAGACGTGGTCCTAAAATGTACGATCCTTAAGTGGTTTCAGTCATTTTTATCTGACAGAATTTTTTTTGTCAAACTAGGTAACTTCTCTTCCTCTGTTGCTCCTCTCACCTATGGCCTCCCTCGAGGCTCGATAAATCATTTGATTAGGGTCGGAACTGCGGAGCACGAATCATTTGATTTAGATCGGGTCTTCGGCGCGTGCAGCGCGAATTATCTGATTCAGATGGGGACTTCAGAGCGAGTTCGTGAATCATTTATTTGATTCAGTTGGGGATTTCGGCGCGTGGAGCGCGAATTATTTGATTCAGATGGGGACTTCAGAGTGAGTTCGCGAATCATTTGATTAAGATCGGGACTTCGGAGTGAGTTCGCAAATCATTTGATTCCAATTGGAACTGCGGAGCACGAATCATTTGATTCAGATCGGGATTTCGGAGCGAGTTCGTGAATCATTTGATTCAGATCAAGATTTCGGAGCGAGTTCGTGAATCATTTGATTCAGATCAAGATTTCGGAGCGAGTTCGTGAATCATTTGATTCAGATCAAGATTTCGGAGCGAGTTCGTGAATCATTTGATTCAGATCAAGATTTCGGAGCGAGTTCGTGAATCATTTGATTCAGATCAAGATTTCGGAGCGAGTTCGTGAATCATTTGATTCAGATCAAGATTTCGGAGCGAGTTCGTGAATCATTTGATTCAGATCAAGATTTCGGAGCGAGTTCGTGAATCATTTGATTCAGATCAAGATTTCGGAGCGAGTTCGTGAATCATTTGATTCAGATCAAGATTTCGGAGCGAGTTCGTGAATCATTTGATTCAGATCAAGATTTCGGAGCGAGTTCGTGAATCATTTGATTCAGATCAAGATTTCGGAGCGAGTTCGTGAATCATTTGATTCAGATCAAGATTTCGGAGCGAGTTCGTGAATCATTTGATTCAGATCAAGATTTCGGAGCGAGTTCGTGAATCATTTGATTCAGATCAAGATTTCGGAGCGAGTTCGTGAATCATTTGATTCAGATCAAGATTTCGGAGCGAGTTCGTGAATCATTTGATTCAGATCAAGATTTCGGAGCGAGTTCGTGAATCATTTGATTCAGATCAAGATTTCGGAGCGAGTTCGTGAATCATTTGATTCAGATCAAGATTTCGGAGCGAGTTCGTGAATCATTTGATTCAGATCAAGATTTCGGAGCGAGTTCGTGAATCATTTGATTCAGATCAAGATTTCGGAGCGAGTTCGTGAATCATTTGATTCAGATCAAGATTTCGGAGCGAGTTCGTGAATCATTTGATTCAGATCAAGATTTCGGAGCGAGTTCGTGAATCATTTGATTCAGATCAAGATTTCGGAGCGAGTTCGTGAATCATTTGATTCAGATCAAGATTTCGGAGCGAGTTCGTGAATCATTTGATTCAGATCAAGATTTCGGAGCGAGTTCGTGAATCATTTGATTCAGATCAAGATTTCGGAGCGAGTTCGTGAATCATTTGATTCAGATCAAGATTTCGGAGCGAGTTCGTGAATCATTTGATTCAGATCAAGATTTCGGAGCGAGTTCGTGAATCATTTGATTCAGATCAAGATTTCGGAGCGAGTTCGTGAATCATTTGATTCAGATCAAGATTTCGGAGCGAGTTCGTGAATCATTTGATTCAGATCAAGATTTCGGAGCGAGTTCGTGAATCATTTGATTCAGATCAAGATTTCGGAGCGAGTTCGTGAATCATTTGATTCAGATCAAGATTTCGGAGCGAGTTCGTGAATCATTTGATTCAGATCAAGATTTCGGAGCGAGTTCGTGAATCATTTGATTCAGATCAAGATTTCGGAGCGAGTTCGTGAATCATTTGATTCAGATCAAGATTTCGGAGCGAGTTCGTGAATCATTTGATTCAGATCAAGATTTCGGAGCGAGTTCGTGAATCATTTGATTCAGATCAAGATTTCGGAGCGAGTTCGTGAATCATTTGATTCAGATCAAGATTTCGGAGCGAGTTCGTGAATCATTTGATTCAGATCAAGATTTCGGAGCGAGTTCGTGAATCATTTGATTCAGATCAAGATTTCGGAGCGAGTTCGTGAATCATTTGATTCAGATCAAGATTTCGGAGCGAGTTCGTGAATCATTTGATTCAGATCAAGATTTCGGAGCGAGTTCGTGAATCATTTGATTCAGATCAAGATTTCGGAGCGAGTTCGTGAATCATTTGATTCAGATCAAGATTTCGGAGCGAGTTCGTGAATCATTTGATTCAGATCAAGATTTCGGAGCGAGTTCGTGAATCATTTGATTCAGATCAAGATTTCGGAGCGAGTTCGTGAATCATTTGATTCAGATCAAGATTTCGGAGCGAGTTCGTGAATCATTTGATTCAGATCAAGATTTCGGAGCGAGTTCGTGAATCATTTGATTCAGATCAAGATTTCGGAGCGAGTTCGTGAATCATTTGATTCAGATCAAGATTTCGGAGCGAGTTCGTGAATCATTTGATTCAGATCAAGATTTCGGAGCGAGTTCGTGAATCATTTGATTCAGATCAAGATTTCGGAGCGAGTTCGTGAATCATTTGATTCAGATCAAGATTTCGGAGCGAGTTCGTGAATCATTTGATTCAGATCAAGATTTCGGAGCGAGTTCGTGAATCATTTGATTCAGATCAAGATTTCGGAGCGAGTTCGTGAATCATTTGATTCAGATCAAGATTTCGGAGCGAGTTCGTGAATCATTTGATTCAGATCAAGATTTCGGAGCGAGTTCGTGAATCATTTGATTCAGATCAAGATTTCGGAGCGAGTTCGTGAATCATTTGATTCAGATCAAGATTTCGGAGCGAGTTCGTGAATCATTTGATTCAGATCAAGATTTCGGAGCGAGTTCGTGAATCATTTGATTCAGATCAAGATTTCGGAGCGAGTTCGTGAATCATTTGATTCAGATCAAGATTTCGGAGCGAGTTCGTGAATCATTTGATTCAGATCAAGATTTCGGAGCGAGTTCGTGAATCATTTGATTCAGATCAAGATTTCGGAGCGAGTTCGTGAATCATTTGATTCAGATCAAGATTTCGGAGCGAGTTCGTGAATCATTTGATTCAGATCAAGATTTCGGAGCGAGTTCGTGAATCATTTGATTCAGATCAAGATTTCGGAGCGAGTTCGTGAATCATTTGATTCAGATCAAGATTTCGGAGCGAGTTCGTGAATCATTTGATTCAGATCAAG